TGAAACTGAAGCAATAACCAAAAAACTCCAGCAAACTAAAGTCCTGGACCTGATGGCTTCACAGGCAAATTTAATCTACCTTTCAAAAAAGAACTAGCACCCATCTTCCTCCACTGTGCCAAAAAGTTCAAGAGGAGGTATGGCTCCCAAGCTCTCTGTGGGAAACCATCATTATTCTAATTCCAAGGACACTGCAGAGAAAGGGAATTATAGTCAAAATCCCTGATGGGCACATAGGCTAAAATCCCCAAGGAAATATTAGCAAACTGATCCAGCAGTTCATTGAAATGATCAGATTCAATGGCCAAGTGGGATTTATCTGGGGATACAAGGTTTGTAATACATTCACAAGTCAATAAACATGATGCATCACATAAACAAAATGAAGAATAAAAATCATATAATATCAATCAACACATGAAAAACCATTCTACTAAACCCAGTATCCATTATGATAAAGACGCTCAGCAAAGTGGGAATAGAGGGATCATCCTCAAAGTGATAAGGCCATATATGACAAACCTATAGACAATATCACATTCAATGGGCAAAAACTAAAACCATTTCCCCTAAGACCAGGAACAAGACAAGGATGCCTGCTTTCACCACTTTTATTCAACATAGCACTGGAAGTCCTAGCCACAGCAATCAGATAAGAAGAAGAAATAAAAGGCATCCAAACTGAAAAGAAGGAAGTCAAATAGTCATTATTTGCAAATGGCATGATATTGTAAACAGGGAACCTTAAAGAACCCATAGAAAATTACTAGATTTAGTAAATGAATTTGGCAAAGTAACAGGTTACAAAGTTAATATTCAGAAGATGGTGGCACTTTTATATTCCAATAATGAACTATCAGACAAGGAAACTAAGAAAACTATCCCATTTACAATTGCCTCAACAACAACAAAAAAGCCTAGAAATAAATTTAACTAAGGAGGTAAAAGACCTGAATTTAAAAAAGTATAAGATGCTGAAGAAAGAAATTGAACAAAAATGTAAATAACATTATACACTGTGCTCATAGACAGGAAAAATTAACATCGTTAAAATGTCTATACTACCCAAAGCAATCTATAGATTCAATGCAATTCCTACCACAATACCAATGGTGTGTTTCATAGAACTAGAAAAAAAATAATCCAAAAATTTGTATGGAACCACAATAGCCCTGAATAGGCACAGCAATTTGAAAAAGAACAAAACTGGAGATATCACACTACCTGATGATTGTAACCCAGACAGCCTGGTACTGGCATAAAAACAGACATAAAGATCATTGGAACCGAATAGGGAGCCCAGAAATAAACCAATGTCTATACAGTCAAGTAATATTTGACAAAGAAAGGAAAAACATACGATGAGGTAAAGAACATCTATTCAATAAAGGATGTTGGGAAAATTGCACAGATACATGCAAAAAATTGAAACTAGACCACTTTCTTACAACATACACGAGAATAAACTCTAAATGGATTAAAGACAAATATAAAAACCCCAAACCATAAAACTCCTAGTGTAAACATGGGCAGTAATATCTCTGGTATTTCTTATAGCAATATTTTTTTCTAACATATCTCTTTGGGCAAAAGAAACGAAATAAAAAGTAAACAACAGGACCACATCAAACTAAAAAAGTTTTTGCACAGCAAGAAAAACCATCAGCAAAATAAAAAGACAACCTACTGAATAGCAGAATATATTCAGCAATGAACATATGATAAGGGGTCAATATAAAAAATTTATAAAGAACTCATATCTCAATGCCAAAAAACACAAACAATTCAATTTAAAAATAGGCAGGGGCCTGAATAGACAGTTGTCCAAACAGAATGTACAGATGATGGCCAATAGACATTTAAAAAGAAGCCCAAAGCCAATAATCACCAGAGAAATGCAAATTAAAACCACAAGACACCACCCACACTTGTCAGAATGGTTATCATCAATAAATCACCAAACAAGTGTTGACAGGGATGTAGAGAAAAGGGAACCCTTGTGCACTGTTGGTATGAATGCAGATTGGTGCAGCCACTATGGAAAGTAATATGGAGGTTTCTCAAACAATTAAAACTACCTCATGATCTGGCAATGCCACTCCTAGGTATACATCCAAAGAATCCCAAAGCACTAATTTGAAAGGACACATGCCCTCCTGTGTCCACTGCAGCATTATTTATAATACTAGATGCCCGATGCATGAAATTTGTGCAAGAGTAGGCCTTCCTTCCCCCGGCTGTCGGCACCAGCTTCTCTCTGGCACCTGAGACCAGGGCTTCCCTCCGGCTGTTGGCAGGCACCCGAGACCCAGGCTTTCCATGAAGCCCTGGCTTCGTTTGGAAGGTCATCCAGAAGGATGTCTGGTCTAATTAGCATATTATGCTTTTATGATTATAGATAATAACCAAGATTAGAAGCAACCCAAGCGGCTATCAATAAATGAGTAGTGTGGTACATACACACAATGGAATATTACTTGGCCATAAAAAAGGAGGAAATGTTACCATTTGCATCAGCATGAATGAATCTAGAAGGTATGATGCTAAGTGAAATACCTAGAGAAAGACAAATACTACATAATTTCCCTTGTGTGTGAAATCTAAAGAGCAAAATAAAGAAACAAAATAGAAACAGACACATAGATACAGAGAACAGACCGACAATTGCCACAGAGGAGAGGGTTTGGGGGACTAGATGAAAAAGATGAAGAGATTAAGAAGTAAAAATTGTTAGTTATAAAATAGTCATGGGGATGTCAAGTATAGCACAGGGAGGATAGTCAATAATTTGTAGTAACTGTGCATGGTGCCAGGTGGGTACTGAAAATATTGGGGCAATACTTTGTAGAGTATGATTGTCTAATCACTATGCTGTACACCTGAAACTGATACAAAGTAATACTGAATGTAAATTATAATGGAAAAATTAAATTAAAAGAATATACTTCTTTTTACATGTACTAAAATAAGTTTTTTGTCCCATTCTATTAACAGGTTTCTCTACTTTGTTTTAACATGTAGATAGATTTAGGTAGTCCCATGGACTCTGAGAAGAGGATCAAGTGCACTTCTATACTATATCAATGATGAATCTCACTGGAGACTTGGTTTGAATACTATTTTACATGAATGTATATTAAACTGCTTAGGAATCAAGGCTGATATCAAGTCCATATGGCTTACAACTTTTTAAAACACATTTGACATGGAAATTGATGCTAAACTGTCATACTATAAATTTTTTTGTTTCAAGTTAAGTAGTGAGCTTGCTAACAAGCCACAAGAGCTGTTATAACTTTCGCTGCTACACTGACATCCAAAAAACAACGTGACTCAGACCACCACAGAGTAGCCACAGAATAAGCTGACCTTTTCCAAAGAAATAGAAATCCTTAATAAAATAGTCCTCGAGTGGGCCGAAGGGAGAAAATGCTTTTGAAAGTTCAGAAAGGGTGAGATGAGATTGGGTTATGGGGCCCTAGCCCTGTTCTATGAGTTAACTGGCTAAGAAGAGAGATTCTACTGGATTGGTAGATTCTAACCCATGATCTCACCATCAATGAAAGCAGTAAGATTCAAGGGTATATTTTAGTGAAGTACTTAAATTTGTCATTGCAGAACTATCACAATCTATGGCAAGCTACATACTGAAGTAAATGTCTATGGGCATGTCTAAACAGTTTATGTTCAAACCTGTGTTAAAATTTTGCAGACAACATGATGTACTTTATCATCCACAGCCTTAACCATAGGAATTTTTTAAAGGTTTGAATCAAACCCCCTTTCCCATAGGAAGATTTTCTATATGTTCTAATTTAAGTCTTTCTGCTATATAATCCTATAACAACCTGTACTCTCCCCTTATTGTAATACTCATTGAGACTGAAATAACTAAGGACAATTTCCCCATCTCCTATATAATAATAAAAGCCTAATAAGCTAAGCATCCAGTCGGCCATTCAACAAATCAAAGCATAATATGCTAATGATATGCTAAGGCCGTCCGACCACTCGCTATGACGTGCACTGACCACCAATGGGTAGGTTCTAATGGGTAGGTTAGCTTGCTGCTGGGATCTGGCATATCAGGACTGAGTGAGACAGGCTGGACACACCCTGGAGCCCTCCCAGGTCCCGATTGTGCACTAGTGGGGTCCCCTGGCCTGGCCTGCACCCTCTAAGCTTCATTAAGGCAGGAGCCATGTCTGTTTTGGTTCCTACTGTATTTCCCAGCACAGGGCTTGGCACATAAATATATATTGAGAGATCTATATGGTCAGAAAAAAAAACACACAACAACAACAAAAAAAAAACCCTCAATAAATAGCTACCAGAGTCTCTGAACTCTTCTACTGTATTACCAGAATTGCACGAATTCATGCATGGGTGGGGTCCCTCGGCCTGGCCAGCAATTGGGGCCATTGGGGACGTCTTGCCCAGCCCCAACTGTCGGCCAGCCAGAGGGGAAAATCGTGGAAGATTGGACAGCCTGGGCCGCAGGAGGTTGGCTGTGGGAGGGTACTGACTACCAAGAGGGCAGCTCTTGTGTTGAGCATCTGCCTCTTGGTGGTCAGTGTGCATCACAGTCAACCTGTTGTAATGGTGGCTTAGGCTTTTATATATACAGATAAATAAGACAAAGTAATTTTCACTTGTCTACTCTTGCAATGGTAGTTTTGGAACTACAATTATCTAATGCTGTGCAGTAAATTCTGAGATATGGACAGCAGCAGAGAGCTAAAATTGTACATCAGTTAAATTATTTTTATTATGATCTATTTTATGCTTATATTCTTTAAAACACAAAGAAATAGTGTTTGGTGAAAAAAGAGCACTTAATGAAGAAATTAACCAAAGAATACATATTCCGGACTCTTCATCTTTACATTACCTTTGCAAAATAGATGACTTTGCATTTTTGGAAATGTTAATTACTTAACCTAGAGTCTGACAATAAAATATCTATAAAAGTATTAAAATAAAATAGCAAATTTCCTTACCCAGGTTAGCAAATCTTCCCCAATTTGATCAATAACAGAGGTCTCATTCCTCTTTCGAACAGTCTTCATCTGCTCATTCAACCCAACTCAAGGGGAAAAATAAAATGGAAAAAAAAGTAAGCATACAGACATTACTGATAGTAACTTAAATTAAAAGGAAAAGATTCAGAATAGTACAACTATTTCTAATTTCCTTAAATATAAACCAGGACACAATTCTTATACATCTAGATATTGTGAGCTCTATCTGAAAAACAGATGATAAAGCGCAAAACAATGTGAAAAATAGCAAATTAAATACAGGCTAGGTATATCAAACAGTCATTTAGCTTCAAGACTCCATCTATAACATACTAATAAAGCACTTGAATGTAAATAATGCTGGTCACTCTGTCTACTGTCCCTCTGAAAATGTGTATGTTCATAGCCAATGAACATAATCTAGTCTGAACTTGACAATGCATGTTGGTGAAACCTAAAATCACTCCCAGACAAGTGAAAAGGCATTCATGTGGTGGGCAGGTGTTGAAAGATGGTGATGGCATTCCTGGTGACAGAAAAATGAAACACAAAGGGACACGGGGAACAGTGACTGGGAGCAAGGAACGGACACACTGACAGGAAGTCCGCAATGAGCAGCACCAGGAGAGCTTCCCTGAATCTATCAAGCGTCCCAAGCAAACAATAAATAACGGAGTGATTTAGTTCCTGAAGTGACACCGCCATGAATTGTATGCTGTGTATTACTATTTCAACATGCATTTATACACATATATTACATGGGATATATTTTTTAAAAACATATACACTATAATTGATAGAAATTTTCAAGGGTAGTTTTGACTACACATGTCTTTGAACTTAGACACTGACATTAGATCCCAAGTCCTGTGTTAACACTTTGAATATAAAAGCTGATATGGGAATGGGGTGGAAGGTTTATTCAAAGATCCAATCACTTACTTATGTTGTACTCTTTTATATATTGAAAATGTTAGGGACAAAGATCAGAGTCAATTTCTCTTACTGTGAAGTTGAAGAATATCTTCCAAGTTTGAAAAAATTTTCCGTAGTTCTGAAGGTGACAGAATTCCTTCTCTGCACACTCGCTGGTAGAACACTTGATCAAGAACCTTTAGTGTTCGAACATGAGCTCTTTCAGTATAAAATAATTCTAAACAGAAAAGAGGTAAATATAAAATGTGGCCTTACTTAGAATAATTCTATGAAAAGTCTAGTTCCTATTTCACACCACACATAGTTATTACAACATTATAGCCTATATTCCTATAGGCTTCAGCTGGGATTAACTATCAAATAAGTTATATAATAATCATTTAGAGTTTAGAGAAGGGAAGTCATTTTTTTTTTTTATTCCACAGAACTCGCCTACATACTGGCTCTAAGAGTTTAATATTGGCAAATGAAAAACATCATTATAAACTGTTTTGTACTTAAAAGTTAATAGTGTATTCCAAAACTCCTCTATCTTTTTAAAATAGATAGTAGCCACAAATCATAACTACATTAGAGAACCATATGCCCAAGCATCATACAGTCTTGGTTATCTCCTTTCAGTTATCTGATGCCTATCAAACCTCATTCTGAGGCCAGGCTTCTAATGTCACTGTCTCAGTGTTACTGGGGACAAGAGGACATTGACTAAATCACATCCTAAAGGCAGGAGGGCAGTGTCCACCTCACACCTCTGCTGCACACTCGCCAGGTGAGGAAGAGCTATGCCTGGGCGAAGTGGGAGCTGGGTGCCAGTTTTTCCCTGTCACTTATCAGCTGCACAATCTTAATTTGTTCATCACCCTGAGCCTTAGCTTTCTCACTCATAATCTATGATCAAGATGAAGAGTCTGAAAGGAAAGTGATGGGGCAAATGTCTCAATGATTTTTCTAGTTTACAAGTTCAAGGATCATCTATATAATTTAATTTCATCTTTGTTTAAAACGAAAGGCAAGCAGAAACTTGGAAGTAAACACCAAGACCCAGGGCATTTTCTGCTATAATAAAACAACAACAACAAAATTAAACTCACCATTAATCACTTCCTGCCTTTTGATCTCACAGGGCTTCAGTCCCAGTAACACTTCTCGACTAACAAGCTGCTGCCAGTTGGGTGGATCAGTTTCCAAGTCATTTTCAAACTGTTCGTCTTCACTTTGACTTTCTCCAAAAGCGGTGCCGTCTAACCTAATAAAGAAAAAGGATGAAGAATCCTATTTGAGGACACCAAGGAACAATGGGAAATAGCATTAAGTCTGACAAACTATGTAGTGCTTCTTTTAAAAATTTCTTGTTTTTCAATTATAGTTGAGATACAATATTACATTAGATTCAGGTGTACAACAATGATAACATTTATGTAACTTATAAAGTGATGGCCCTGATAAGCCCAGTGTCTACCTTACACACACAGGTATGAAAATGTTATTGCCTATATTTCCTACACTGTACTTAGTATTTCCACGACAAGTTTTGTGATTTAACCACTTCCCCTTTTTCACCCATACCACCAAACCCACTCTCATTGGCAACCATCTACTTGTTTGAGTCTATGGATTTTGTTTGTTCGTTTGTTTTGTTTTTTTAGATATACCATGTAACTGAAATCACAAGGTATTTGCCTTTCTCTGACTTAATTCACTTAGCATAATACCTTCTAGATACATCCATGTCACAAATGGCAAGATTCCATTCATTTTATGGCTGAATATTCCATTGTGTGTATGTTCCATATCTTCTCTGTTGTCTACTGGTGGGCATTTAGGTTGCTTCCGTATCTTGGCTATCGTATATAATGCTGTAATGAATATAGGGATGCATGTATCTTTTCCAATTAGTGTTTTTTTAAATAATCAAAAGTGAAATTGCTGAGGAACTGCTACTATATTTTCCATACTGGTTATCTGTACATAAAGATCCCTTTGCTCCACATCCTCTCCAAAACTTGATTGGCATTCTGAGGGATGTGAGGTGGTATCTCGCTGTGGTTTTAATTTGTATGTCCCTGATGATTAGTGATGTTGAGCACACTATCATATATCTACTGACCATCTATCTGTCCTATTTGGAGAAATATTTCTCAGGTACTCCGTGCTTTTTTAGATTGAATTGTTAGGGTTTTACGTTGTATTAGTATGCATGATTTCCCTATGTTAGTGTATTCACCTCTATCAGATGTCCCATTAGAGAGAAGTGTCTCCCCATCAGCAAGCTATCGTTTTGTTCTGTTGATGGTTCTCTTCCCTGTGCAGAGTAAACTACTTTAGTTTCACGTAGTCCCGTGTGTTTATTTTGTCTTTGGTTTCTTTCCCTTGCCTGAGAAGACATATCTGAAAACTTATTAACTAGAGCAATAATGAAGAGTTTACTACCTATGGTTTCTTCTGAAAGTTTTGTGGTTTGGGGTCTGACTTTTAAGTCTTCAATCCATTTTGGGTTTATTCCTGTACACGGTGTAAGAGAACTATCCGGAGGGGAAATGGCTGCCTAGGCCCAGTGTGTCAGGCATGTCTTCGGGCCAGACTCCCAGCCACCTCTCCCCTTCTGCTCTTCTCCCCAACCTTTCCCAGGCACCTCAAGTCCGCACTTCAGCCACGGGGATCAATTGTTCTGACTTAGGTCTGAATCACATCTGACAAAAAGATGGGAGCCAAGGGGAACACGAAGCTTAGGCTGACAGCTATGCAGAGTAACCAAGTCCCATGTCTTCCAGCATTGATGACGCTGTGCAGGCGAACTCCAAGTTTAGACTTGACTGATGCTGACAAGATGCCCCTGGAGCCATTTCTAAGAAGCTGGATCCAAGGTTCAAAAACAAAAAAGAAACTGGAGACTTTAAAGCTTAAAAAGCAACTGTAATTTAAACTTCAGCTGGAGAGCCGAGAGCTCTGCAGGAAGCCGTGGCCCCATTTTGAGGACACTCAAGGAACCCTATGGAAATGTTTGAGAGACCCACGCGGCAAGGAACATCCCTGCTGCTCCCAGCTGGCCAGGAGCTGAGGCCCCCAACCAACAGTTAGAACGCTTTCTGACAAGGAACAGTGTGGATAAGGGGGCATTTTCAATGTTGGATTCTCGTATATCTGAAATTTATTAAAGCAGACGACTTTAATCACTCAAAATATGCGACACATTCTATAGCTAACAAAACCCTCCATAACTTAAAAGAAAGTTATCCAGTTCCATCCTTTTGCATGTATCACTGTTTTCCTTATACTATTTTTTTTAAAATATATTTTATTGATTTTTTACAGAGAGGAAGAGAGAGGGACAGAGAGTTAGAAACATCGATGAGAGAGAATCATCGATCAGCTGCCTCTTGCACACCCCATACTGGGGATGTGCCCACAACCTAGGTACATGCCCTTGACCAGAATCGAAACCGGGACCTTTAAGTCCGCAGGCCGACGCTCTATCCACTGAGCCAAACCGGTTTCGGCTCCTTATATCATTTATTGAATAGACTCTATTTACCTTATTGTATAGTCTTGTCTCCTTTATTATAGATTGATCATAACAGGCATAGGTTTATTTCTAGACTCTCTAGTCTGTTCCACTGATCTGTGCCTGGTGTTTTTGTTTTTAAGAAAAGTTGGTTTTAGAAAGAGAAGGGAGAGAAACACTGATTGGTTGCCTCCCACATGCATCCCAAATGGGGATCAAACCCAAATGGGTATAGGAACCTGGGTGTGTGAACTGGCTGGGAATTAAACTGGTAACTTTTCAGTGCACGGGGCAACACCTAACCAACTGAACCACACTGGCCAGAGCACATGTATCTGCTTTTATGCCAGTATCATGTTGCTGTGGTTACTATAGCCCAGAATAGTTTGGTGTCAGGCAGTATAATACCTCCAACTTTGTTCTTTCTCCAGTGGTTCCATATGAATTTTATTTATTCTAATTCTGTGAAAAATGGCATTGGTATTTTGATACACTTTATTAAATCTGTAGATGGCTTTGGGAAGTATTAACATCTTAAAGATGAACATCATGCTGAGTGAAACAAGCCAGTCAATGAAAGAGAGACACCACATGACCTCACTTATTTATGGATGATAAAGAACATTATAAACTGAAGAACCAAAAGATAGAGACAGTAAAGCAACAAGCAGACTGTCAAATTACAGCGGGGAGGTTGGGGAGATCTGAGGGAGATAAGAGATCAACCAAAGGACTTGTATACATGCATATAAGTACAACCAATGGACACAAAACTCTGAGAAGGGAAGGTATGTGGGGGGGGGGGTAATATGTACAAAAATAATAATTTAATAATAAAATATATTATAAAGAAACATCTTAAAGATGCTAATTCTTCCTACATGAGCACAGTTTACATTTACATTTATTTGTATAGTTTTCAATTTGACCCTTCAAATGCTTGGTTTTCCAAGTATAGGCCTTTTACTGCCTTGGTTGACTTTATTCCTACGTATTTATGATGCAATTGCAAATAGGGTTTTTTAATTGCTCTTTAAGAATAATTATTACTGGTGTATAAAAGTGTAACTGGTTTTTCTGAACATTAATTTTGTACCTTTCTATTTTATTGCACTTACTTGTTAGTTCTAATAACTTTGTGGCAGAATATTTAGGGCTCTGTTAGCTGGGGTCTTCATGGGCGGCCTTCATGCTGAGGTATCTCCCTGTACCACTTCTTTCTGAGAGTTTTTATCTAAATGAAGCATTTTGTGAATATTTTCCTGCATCTATTGGTAGAATCATAGTTTTTATTCTTAATTTTGTATATGTGGTATGTAATCTTAAGTGATCTGCTAATATGAACTAATCTCAAATGCCAGTGATAAATCCAACTAGATCATGGTGTACCTTTTTACTGTACTGCTAAATTTGATTTAAAATATTTTGAGAAATTTTGCGTTTAGGTTTATCAGGGATATTGGTCTATAACTTTCTTTTTTTTGTAGTGTTTGTCTGGGATTGGTATCAGGATAATGTAGCTTCATAAAATGACTTTAAGAGTTCCCTCCCTTCACTTTTTAAAAATATATTTTATTGATTTTTTACAGAGAGGAAAGGCTAGAAACATCGATGAGAGAGAATCATCGATCAGCTGCCTCTTGCACACCCCCTACTGGGGATGTGTCCACAACCAAGGTACATGCCCTTGACTGGAATCGAACCTGAGACCTTTCAGTCCGCAGACCGACACTCTACCATTGAGCCAAACAGGCTTCGGCTCCCTTCACTATTTTAAGAATAGTTTGAGAATAAGTATTACTTTTTTGAATGTTTGGTAAAATGTTCCTATGCATCCATCTGGTCCAGTACTTTTGTTTGCTGGAAGTTTTTTAATTACTATTTCTATTTCTTTAGTAGGTATTGGTCTGTTCATATTTGTTTCTTCAATCTTGGGAGATTGTATGTTTCTGTAAATTTACTGATTTATTCCAGGTTGTCCAATTTATTGCAATAGACCTGTTCATAGTATTTCTTTAAAAACCTTTGTATTTCTGTGGTGTTGGTTCTCTCTCCTCTTTCATTTCTGATTTTATGTATTTGTCTCACTCATTTTATTATTGTTGATGAGTCTAGCTACTTTATCTTTTTTTTTAAATGAATCTACTGTATTAGTTTTTTTGTGTGTTTTTTTAAAATATATTTATTGAATTTTTGGAAGAGGGATAGAGAGTTAGAAACATCGATGATCAGAGAGAATCATCGATCAGCTGCCTCTTGCACACCCCCTACTAGGGATGTACCCACAACCAAGGTACATGCCCTTGACCGGAATCGAACCTGGGACCTTTCAGTCCGCAGGCCGATGCTCTATCCACTGAGCCAAACCGGTTTCGGCTACTTTATCATTTCAAAAATCTAGGTCTTGGTTTCATTGATCATTTCTTTTTCCTTTTCCTTTTTTGTAAAAAAAAATATTTCATTATTTCAGCTCTGATCTTTGTTTTTTCTATACTTCTCATTTTGGGTTTGTGTGAGGTTTTCTGTTCCTTGAGGAGGCCTGTCTCGCTCCATTTTCCCATTACAGCTGCTGTGCCTGTGCCCATAGGTTTTTGGTCTCTGCGTTTTCATTTTCATTTGCCTCGTGGTGTCTTTTAACGTATTCCTTGATCTTGTTAATCCACTCACTGTTTTTAGTTTTGTGCTACTGTTGTTGGTTATTTCCTTTGTAAATTTACTGAGACTTGTTTGTGGCCTAACATGTAGTCTGTCCTGGAAAATGTTCCCTATGCACTTGGGAAGGATATATATTCTATTCCGTACACCCATGTCTCCGGACCTGTGTAACATACGGACATATCTCAGAGAAAAGGGGGTTGGGAGGGATAGAAAACATATATGCAGAGCCCAGACAATAGTGTGCTGAAGGCTGGAGCTGAGTGAAGGGGAACATTGGGGGGCATCTGTAATACCATTACAGTATTTTTGTTCTTAAAAAAGTTAGAAAACGAATCAGAATGAATATTCTGCTGCTTTGTGTAATGATGTCAAAGATGCCATCCAGTCCCATCAATCTAGTGTGTCATGTGAGGCCACTGTTTTCCTTACTGACTTTCTCTGGGTTCCCTATCCATCCGTCAATGGGGTGTTGAGCTCCCTACTATGATTGCCTCACTGCCAACCTCTCTGCACCTCTGTCCTCCTGTGTTTTATAGACACCCCTTTAGGGTAGGTAGCAGCTTACAGGAGCTGTGCTCTCGTGTGGGATTGACCCCTTTATGATTACAAAATGCCCTCTGTCTTTTGTTACTTTCTTTAAATTCTGTTTCCTCTAAGTATTGTTACACCAGCTTTTCCCCCCCATTTGCAGGGAATGCCTTTTTCCCATCCCTTTACTTTCATTGTGTGTGTCTAGATCTGACATGACAATGTATGTACCAGTCGTATTTTTTTTATCCATCCATTCATCTACCCTATGTGCTTTGCTTGGGACATTTACTACATTTACATTTAAAGTAATTATTGATAGGCATGCAGTTATTAATCAGGTTTTCTTATTAGTTTTGTAGTTCTTCCGTTCCCTTCTCTTTCTCTTGCTCTCTTCTCTTTTGTGTCTCCTCTGTGGGTTGTGTGTGCCCTCCTGTTGTGGTTGAGCCTTGACTGTGCTGGCACCTCAGTGGGTGGAATTGCCCTGCAGGCTGGCTAGGTGAGGGCTGCCGTAACTATCAGACAGGCTGCGTGCGAGGGCAGGGCTGACCCCACAGAGCGGCAGGGCTATAGGAGCAGTGGAGTCCACTGTTCAGATCTGTCATCGGTGGGGCTGGTGGGTATTAACGCCGGCCCTGGTGCTGGCACTGGAGCCTCTTGTGTGGGCTCAGGTCACTGCTGTATATGCTTGGCTGGTGCTGCCTGGTGGGTACTACAAAGTGACCTGTGGTTGGTTGCTGTTGTGCTAGAGTGGGAGGCACTTGGAAGAGGTCACACTGCAAGGCTGTCTGTCAATACTGCCAGGCTGGAGAGCCGTGGAGGTCATCATGATGGGAACCAAGGCAGTGGTCACTGTGCTAGGCTTGTGACTCAGCTGAAGCTACTTTCCAAGCCAACACTGGCCACAGCTTATGCCTACCCAAGCAATGTAAATTGAGACTGGGTGCTGGTTGTGCTGGGAGCCACTTAGCAAGCTGCATGGGGCATTCCATGGCCAGCCCCTGCTTGTCTGGCATTTGGAGACCCTTGAGAGATTTTAGGAAAATCCGCGGCAGGAGCTGAGGCAGACCGCTTGTGTAGAAAAGCCGCTGGACGTGGCTCGCACTGGCAGTGAGAACTGGGTGGGGAGTGTCGGATGACTCAGCACAGCTGGAGGAGCAGTGCTAGCCAGGCTCATGGAGCACAGACTGGGAGCCACCCTGAGCCTCCAGGTGGGCAGGGGAGGGGCAACGGGCACAGTGGGGCCTGCCAGCATTTCTGCGCCCAGAGTGTTGTTCTGATGGCTGTCCTTCAGCTGGCAACCCACACCTACTCAATATAGCTCCTCCACACGTCCCTGGCACTTCCCTGCTCTGTTCCTGGGTTGGAGCCCCGAGTGAGCTCCTGCGTGAGCCAGAACCTGGGTCCTCCTGAAGAATGGCTGGGCACTGCAGCCCTGCCATGCTCAGAGCAGGCCCCGCTGGCTCCCCAGCCCGAAGTGGGCCCTCCTCTTCCCAACACTGGAGTCCCAGGGTGAAAGCCCAGCCTGGTGCTGGGCCCCTTGATCCTTCGTGAGATCTCCACAACCGAGATGGCCTTCTTATTCTTCACCACCACCCATGGGTGCAGGACCACCCGCTTCCCAGCCCACTCGTCTCAACAGGGCTTCTCCCTATTCTCATTCAGCGGGTCCCCAGAGAACTCTCAGCAACAGCTGCTCCCTGACGTCACTGATCTGCTGTGCCCGGGAGGAGGGGAAGGCAGCGTTCATCTACTCCGCCATCTTGACCAGAATACCCGAGACTCTTCCTTTAGCATGCTTCCTTAAAGCATGCCCTACTGAAGGCTACTGTACAACTACTTACTTTCGAAAGGGCTTTGGTGTCCCATGTTCAGTCATCCTAAAACAATGGGAAAAAAGAGTCAACAAAAAAACCAAAATGTTAATTAAGAAATATATGCCAGTGTTCAAAACTGGGTAAAAGTACAGCAGCTGGTAACTAATTCTTCTTGATATTGTAAGAATAAATTGAAAAGCATTCAATATCTATTAATATTTACTACCAAAACAAGTTCTAGTTTCTTCCCAAAAAGCACCTGTGGGAATAACTGTAAAATACAGGAATATTATATAATTAAAAAATGGTAAGCAGTATCCGACACGGAGACCTGTTACGTCTGAATTACCTTTCCACCTCCCATTCCTCCTCTTGCACCTGGTCCAGTGGCAGCGGCGGGGACTCCAGGGCAGCACTGGAAGCACGAGGCGGGGCGTCCACGAGGTCTGCAGATGCTGGGGATTCTGCCACTGGCTTTGATCCTGAAGAGACAAACGGCACCCACTCAATTCGTGCCACACACGTAACATCATGTACTTACTCAGATGATGACAAGAAAAAAAAGGTGTTCATTCCAGAAGAGCTTCAACCTAATCCATAGTCACATTCATTTTTAAACATCTGTGGGTTAGCTAGAATAAAAATTCTAGCATATAACATTTTAAAATACACTAAAAACCAAATAGAAAATCATTTTAAACAGCTTTAGGTGACAACATAAAACATGGCAACAACACAGAAGAGCATATAAGAGAAAAATATTCTCACCTATCCTTTTCTACCCTAAATCTTTTTCATTCATTCACATTTCAGATATTATGGTGATCCAACAAATAACTTTATTCTTTGTTATCTTTAGGTAATATCTACTTCTTCCTCCTTAGAAGATATTGCTTATTCTTCCTGCCTTCAACTTAGGGCTAGAGAGGGACGCAGGAGGATGGCCAACCAGGGAGGGACCTCGGGAGGGCTCCAGGGCATGCCCGGCCTGTTTTGCTCAGTCCCAATTGACTGGACCCCAACAGCAAGCTAACCAACCAACCAGAGCATCTTCCCTCCAGTGGTCAGTGCAGGTCAGAGCGAGTGGTTGAGAGGCTTTAACATATTATTAGCATATTATGCTTTGATTGGTTGAACAGCTGATCGGCCGACCAGACACTTAGCATATTAGTTTTTATTATATTAGAGAGCCGGTGCACAAAATTCATGCACAGGGATGTGTCCCTCAGCCCAGCCTGCACCCTTTCCAATCTGAGACCCCTCAAGGGATGTCTGACTGTCTAAGGCCCAATCCTGGAAGGATCAAGTCTAAACGGGCAGTCGGACATCCCTCTCACAATCCAGGGCTGTTGGCTCCCAACTGCTCACCTGCCTGCCTTCCTGATTGCCCTTAACTGCTTCTGCCTGCCAGCCTGGTCAGCCCCTAACCACCACTCCCCTGCCAGCTTGATCAACACCGAAGTGCTCCCCTGCCAGCCTGATTGCCCCTAACTGCCCTCCCCTGAAGGCCTGGTCACCCCTAACTGCCCTTCCCTGCAGGGATGGTCACCCCTAACTGCTCTCTCCTGCAAGCCTGGGTCCACCCGAACTGCCCTTCCCTGCAGGCCCAGTTGCCCCCAAATTCCCTCCTCTGCCGGCCTGGTCACCCCCAACTTCCCTCCCTTGTAGGCCTGATCACCCACAACTGCCCTCCCTTGTAGGCATGATCCCTCCCAATGCCCTCCCTTGCTTGCCATCTTGTGGTGGCCATCTTGTGTTCACATGGGGGCAGCTATCTTGTGTGTTGGAGTGATGGTCAATCTGCATATTACTCTTTTATTAGATAGGATGGAAGCCAGGTGCACGGGTGGGGGCCGGCTGCTTTGCCCTGAAGGGTGTCTCAGATCAGGGTGGGGGTTCCATTGGGGTGTGGGGTGGCCTAGGCAAGGGGCTTATGGTGGTTTGCAGGCTGGCCACGACCCCTGGCAACCCAAGTAGAGGCCCTGGTATCTTGGACTTATTTACCTTCTATAATTAAAACATTGTAGCCTTAAGCGGAGGCCAAGGCTGGCCGGAAAGCTTGGCTTCCTCCATCGTTGGGGGCAGCCCAACCTTCTGCTTGCTTCAGCTCCATGGCTGCCAGCATTTTTGTTGGGATTTGTATCTTCTATAATTGAAACTTTGTAGTCTTGAGCGGAGGCCAGGGCTGGCCAGGAAACTTGACTCCCTCCATCACTGGAGAAACCCAAGCCTACTGCTCGTTCCTGGCCACACTATCTTGGTTGGGTTAATTTGCATACTCACTCCTGATTGGCTTGTGGGTGTGGCTTGTGGGCGTAGCAGAGGTACAGTCAATTTGCATGTTTCACTTTTCTTAGTGTAGACTAGAAGGCCCAGTGCACAATATTTGCGCAATGGGGGGGGGGGGGGGTAGGGCGGGGGGTCCTTCCACTAGGCCTGCACCCTCTTGCAGTCCAGGAGCCCTCAGGGGATGTCCCACTGAAGGTAGTTGGACATCCTTAGCACTGCCGAAGAGATGGGAGAAGCTCCTGCCACCGCCGCTACACTCACCAGCTGTGAGCCTGTCTTCTGGATGAGTGGTGCTCCTCTTCGGGGAACATACTGACCACAAGGGGGAAGCTCCTGCATGGAGTGTCTGACCCCTGGTGGTCAGTGCGTGTCATAGCAACCACAGTCATTCTGCTGTTCAGCTGTTGTGCATATTATCCTCTTATTACACAGATATCCTGTGTAATAAGAGGATAATATGCTAATAGACTGAACAGTGGAACAAATGGAACAACTGAATAACCGGTTGCTATGACGTGTGCTGACCACCAGGGGGCATGCAAAGAATATGGTGGGCACTGGCTGCAGCGGGATGGTGGAGCAGGTGAGTGGTGGCACCAGAGCCAGTCGCTGTCATCGGGGCAAGCCTCTGATGGTTACTGAAAATTCTTTATTACCATGCACCGTGGTTCCACCCGGCACTCACACCTGACGCCGGTGCCCAGCTCCGGTCCTGATGGCTCAGTGCCATCAGCAGATGTGAGTAGCTGCCAGCCCCAATCGTCCCTAAGGGCTTCTCCACCTCCCCCTGCTCCTGAAGAGGAGATCAGGGCCAGCAGCCGCCTCTTGCACCTGCTGCCAGTGCCAGAGCCACCACTCGCACCCACCGCCAGCACTGGCCCCACTTTCAACTGCAGCCAGTGCTGGAGCCGGCACTCACACCCACTGCCTTGCGTCAGTCCCAATCGCTCAGAGCCATCATATATATATATATATATATATATATATATATATATATATATATTTGCCTAAGCAACCGACCAGACACCCTCTCTCAATCTGGGACCCATCGGGAATGTTGGAGAGCTGGTTTCGGCCCGATCCCCACAGACCAAACCGAGGGAACCCTACCAGTGCATGAATCTGTGCACCTAGTATCTATATCTATATATCTATATATTCAAGAAGTTAGTATCTTCTTGTTGTTAATCCTCACCCGAGCATATTTTCTCCATCACTCTTCAGAGAAGAGTGGAAAGGAGGAAGGTGGAGAGAGAAAAATAGAAACATAGATGTGAGAGACACACACCCCAACTGGGGGCAGGGAGCCAAGCCGCAACCCAGGTAGGTGCCTTTGACCAGGAATTGAACCTGCAACCCTTTAGTGCTCAGGCCAGCACTATAACTACTGAGCAACACCAGCCAGGGCAAGAAGTTAGTATGTTAATGCTCTTCTACGTCAGATTAGGTATTTAGTGACCTTTCCTTCTACCTTCATTTTTTTTTTCAACTACAATTTCACTTGTATGATTAACAGAATTTTTACATTTCCATTCTGATCTGCAGCCACAGAATTTTCTGTGCTTTGCCTGAGAGACTGGTTCTCAAAGTCTGAAAACAAACATATTGCTATAATAATTACATTATTATAGCAATATATACATATGGTCATATAAAATATATAACATATATTATTCCTGTCAGATCAAAAGATATGTTAGTTAGGATTACATGGTCTGATAATATAATTCTTGGGCCATTTGAAATAAAATGTTTACTATGTTAAAGTCTTATACTCATCAATTACTTTAAGATCATGCCACTTGTTATTTTACTTCATGTTTAAAATCATGACTTAACTTTCTGAACAACTGTTTTTCTGAATGCTTTTCTATCATTACTGTCAAAATATTAGAATCTAATCAAGCCTCCCATGTTTCCATCTGCTACACTGTCCAGCAGTGTCCGCACAGCGCTTCCCCTGCACCTCTTGTGTTCACCGGAGCCGCTGCCTGGGCCTGTGACCCGCATCATCCTTGAAGGGCCCTTCTCCACGCTCCTGGGTGGTTCCCATTTTTTCCTGTATCTCATAACATTTTCTTTCCTCCTATTTACTCTCATTTTGCTACAATGGTATTTTAAAATAATTTTCAAGTAACAGGTAACATTTCAGTTAAACTCTTAATCCTAGAACACATGTGTCAAACACAAGGCCCGCGGGCCAAATCCGTCCCGCCAGGCCTTGCAATGTGGCCCGCACCGCGCTGTCATCACTGCACTCCGCTGCGTTTCCATCACAATGACAGTTTATGACTGTTCAGTAAACCATTCAGCCCGCGATTTAGGCTGGATTTTAGATTTTGGCCCCTTCTCTGATTGAGTTCGACACCCCTATCCTAGAATATCTGAAAATGCCTTCCTATTTTTCTCCATACTTTAGGGTGGGTCTGAATGCAGACAGACTTCTAAGCTCAATGCCTCTTCCTTCCAGAAGCTGGAGAAATGCTCTTTGTGTTCAAGCACCCAGTGTCCTAAGGCAAGTGTGATGCAGTGGGACCCCTGCTTTAGGGCCACACGCTAGAGCTCCAGGACATCATCCTGTGAAGCTTACCTCTCCCCACATACTCCCTTCTCCCACCCTGAAACGGAGGCCCTGGCTTCCCCGTCCATGAAGGACAGACTGCCCACAGCCTGCAGTGCAAGGAGCAGAAGGCTGCCGATGCGACTGCATTGATCAGACGTTTGGTTTTGTCATTTTCGGCTCTGTCGTCCCGTGTGTCCGCCCCCCCCCCCCCCCCCCAAACGTCCATGCGCTCCAGCCAGCCTGAGCCTGCAGGCTCTCGTGGGCGAAGGGCCGCCTCGGGCTCCTTCACTGAGTTCCGGGCTGCAGCTTCCTTTATGTGGTTTTGCCCACCAAACCACACTGTCCTTGCTCAGTCTCCCCAAAGATGCTGACATCTCTTATTTGTTGTAACACCTTACTTTCTTCTACCTCCTTTTTGTTCTGTTTGTTACCCACCATGCTTGTGTTTCCCTGAGACATGGAGCCATGAGTGAGTGCAGGTACACAATCCAACACCTGTGTCAGTCTCCAGCCTTTTCTCCGAATGTCCCTCCTACTTCTTTATCTTAAATAAAAACCTGCCCCTCCCATAGGAAGGCAACCTTTCCTGCAACCACCCCTCCCGTAGAGACGTGTTCTCCCTCCCGGACATTCCCCACCTCCCTTCCTCACAGCAGGCACCCAGCAACACCCTGTGGCTGCGGCTCAAAACTCTCCTCTTAGTCCGAACCTCACATGCCTCAAACCCACACGCAGGCTAAGCTATCTGAGCTCCTGCCTCCTCGGCTACCTTCCTTCCTTCCTTCATCTCTAGCACCCTCCTCCACGCCACCTCAATGACCACTCCCACCACTTTAGCCTTGACCTTGGCTTCACCAAAAACTGACTGCTTCCCAAATCACTAACACAGGCATTGCCTCCTCCAAATAAAACCATCTCTTCTCCTGCTCAGGTGCTTAAGAAACTCATAACACAGGCTATCTGAAGAACATGGTAATAAGTTCGTTTCCAAGTATCTACAATTACTTCGTATCTGTCTTGACTCCTTAAATCATCTTTTCACCAAGGTTATTACTCTGAGGCGATAACCTAGTCTTTCATCTCCTCTCTCCTTTTCAAAACTTTGTTCCTTTGGTTACTCCAGCTTATCCTTACATCTTCAACCTCTTCCCAGCAGCTGGCTTCCACTTAGCAGTTAAAAGGCATCTCTAGTCTAATTTTAAAAGCCTTCCTTACACCTCCCACATCTGCCCCAAACCTCTGACAGTCCTCCTCGCTCCTTTACCTTGCCTCTGTGGACTCAGCACAATTTGAATTTGTGAGTGTAGGACTCTCATCCAGGAGAACAATTATCCTGTATAATTATCCTGTCCTAACATCTGGAATGAGGCTGATGCCTAACAGAAAACTCAGTAATCATTTTTGAATGGATGAGAACTTGAAAATCATCAGTCAGCACAGATTTGTCCCTAGTTGTCAGATATTAAAACTGAATTTAACTGGGGTTCAGTCTTGATTAAAATAACCTGTCACATTTTTCTTAGTATGATTGTTTTAAAATATTAACTCTTAAGTTATGCTGAACTACAGCTCACCCGCATCATTCTCCTTCCCTACATCCTGGCAGAGATTGGCCACGGAAGCCACTGAGGACACGGAGCCAGCGGGCAGGTACCCAGCGTCAGCTCCGTCACCTGCTGGCCCACTCTGGCGAGACTTAGCAGCATCCTGGGGCTCGGGGCTCACAGGGGGAGGTGTGGGTGAGTGCTTCGGGTGGCGCTGCTTCTGTAGCTCCATGGCTCTGCCAACTAGACAGAAAGAAATGGTCAAAAATGTGTGTTTCAAAGCAGCCAAACAACGATGATGTCAAAGATCTGGAAAAATGTCTAAAACATGGTAGGCCCTAATGATTACACAGAGAGAGGAAAGGGAAGTAGGAAAAGCAGAAAGGAAGGGAAATGAGAGGAAGCGGGAGGGGGAGAAGGTGGAATAGGACCGAAAGGGAGAGAGGGAGATGGTGCAGCGTGAAGGAAGACAGGAGGTAGACAAAGATGAGCAAGAGAAAAGGAGAGCGGGGTGCTGAGGCAGGCAGGTCCATGGGGAGCATCCGCACTGGTACTGTGGAGAGGAAGCCTTTGAGCTCTAGAAGCTCACCCCCCCCAAACCCTCATCACGTCATCACATTGCGCCCTGGTCCATCTGGTTCCCCTCCTGCTCCTATCCTCATACTGTACGGAGCTGCCCCCCTCACAGAGCTCCACATCATAGCCCCATGTTCTCCCTCACTCCACTCTTCTCTGCCTCCTGGAAACACTCCCTCTCCTCACCGTCTCTAAAAATGTCCTTCACCCGCTCAGTGTTTCTCCACAGGCCACCTCGTCCTGTAGGACAGTTCAGTCGCTTGGTCCCAACCCCTGCCCACGCCACCCTGCCAGTGTGCCCACAGGACTTGTGTCTCCCCCCAGCTCCACAATGTCACGTCCTCCTAGGCCCTCTCTAGGGGCTGACGCTCCCCTGGGCCTGACGGTGGAGGGAGATCAGAAAATAAAGCGTGGTGGAGAGGTGAAAAGTGTGAGAGACACATGTGTAAAAGGACTGAACAAAGTATGGTGGAGAGACCCAAGCACATGTTCTGTGTTTTTAATTTTTAACTTTAATGATCAGAATATGAATACAAACAAAATTAGGACAGGTGAATGAATTATATTGTGGATAACTAGTGAGATGCTCTGCTACCATCCCAGGGGATGTTTTGGACAATTATGAAGCCACATGGGGGAGCTCAGTGCAGACAGAACACCAAATAGAAGCAAAGCACATTGGAAGTTCAGAGGAACCATGTCAAGAACACTCTCTCTAGCAATTCCCTCTAGCTCAATGAGACCATTAAACGGTGGCGTGGGACACAGAACACAGCATTTTAAACTTCAACATACTTGCACTGTTGTCAGGGCGGCTGGGCCTCCGTGGGGGCCCCAGGATGCTGGAGAATCCCCTTCGCTTCCCCTTTTCTTCTCCTTCCCTATCTTTCTTCATACTTTGCTAGAGTTAAGGTACAACCAAAGAGATAAGAGATACATAACAGAGTGGGCTTCTTCTGTTACTTTCAAACATAGAAATGGAATTACAATGGTCATTTGAAAGAAATTGGTTAAATGTAAATGAAACACACACACACACACACACACACACACACACACGCATGCACGCACACACATGATACTCATTAGAAACTGGCACACAGTACTGTGTATAGATGAAACTTACGGTATCTGGGGGAGGTGGAGGAGTGAATATGGGAGATAAATGCTGATGGAAGGAGACTTGACTTGGGGTGGTGAACGCACAATACAGTGGACAGATCATGCATTATACAGTTGTAGACTTGAAATCTGTGTAATTTTATTAACCAATGTCACCCCAGTAAATTCAATAAAAGACATTTTTTCAAACTCTCTATAGCTGACAATTTTGGAAAACAAAAGGATATTTTTATTTTTTTATTTTTTAATAATTTCTTTTTTTAATAAACAAATCAGCATAGTTATCTATGCCATTTCTTTATATATATATATATATATATATATATATATATATATATATATATATTTTATTGAAGGGAGAGGAATAAAGCGTTAGAAACATCGATGAGAGAGAAACATGGACCAACTGCCTCTTGCACACTCTCCACTGGGGATGTGCCCGCAACCAAGGTACATGCCCTTGACCGGAATCGAACCCGGGACCCTTCAGTCCTCAGGCCAAAGCTCTATCCACTGAGCCAAACCGGTTTTGGCCAAAAGGATATTTTTATAACACATTTACTGGGAGCTTGTACATGATTCATTTATCCACTGAGCAAATATTTACTTAATAAGCTCAGGCAATGTGAGCGCAGTATGCTAAAGGCTAGAGGTCCAATGATAAAGGAGCTCCTTGCACTCACAGAGCTTCACTATCAAATAAAAATTAAACAAAAACACAAATAATTATCAACTATGACAGGCACCACAAAAGAAAAGGGTAAGCTGAGGATGGTACTCTGTAAGTTGCTACTTTCACTTTTCCTATTTTTTAGTCATTAGTTCCCATCCCGCTTTCTCACTAGGTTTGGAGTTTCTGACGACAGGAGCCACACCCTATCCATAGCAACTACACGAAGCTGCTGAAGAGCGAACACTGAGCAGGCGAAAGCACGAGACCCGCACGCAGTGCTCTCCCAGCCTCACCTTGATTTTTGGAAGGAACCCAATCCGACCTCGCTTATGCTCCAAATTTCGAGGTTCTTTCACTTTTACTCCCAGATGCTTCATGTACATGAAAATAACATACTGCATTGTTGAACTGGAGGAGAACAGAAGAAGGAAAATAAGAAAAAGGAGGGTGGGTAAAATAAAGATAGCAACTGACTTCCAAAACCTCAGTGATAGAATTCTTAGAGTTCATTCATCACATAGAATAGAAGGAATTACCAGGAAAGGATTCTATCTCAAAATACTAGAATATTTGTCAAATAAAATATAAGCCACCATGCCGAAACCGGTTTGGCTCAGTGGTAGAGCATCGGTCTGTGGATTGAAAGGTCCCGGGTTCGATTCCGGTCAAGGACATGTACCTTGGTTGCGGGCACATCCCCAATAGAGGGTGTGCAAGAGGCAGCTGATCGATGATTCTCTCTCATCGATGTTTCTAACTCTCTATTCCTCTCTCTTCCTCTCTGTAAAAAATCAATAAAATATATTTAAAAATATATATATAAGCCACCAGAAGGAGATGGTCTACATTTTTTAAGTTAAAAGAAATAAAATATAATTCAGTACTGACAAAAGAAAAAAGTTTATTTATTTCCTTAAAATTCTAGAATAAAAGTTGTATTACCTCTTGTCTTCTTCTATAGCCTGAGCAGTCATCCTAAAAATAAAAACATTTACAAATGAAATATTAACGTTTAAGAAAAGAGTTGCTATTAAACCCAGATTCCTGAAGCAGCAGAAAAGCCACAGGGACTGTAATTCTAAGAAAAACCCCTCTATCCTCAAAGGAGCTGCATGCTTCTCACTCGTGTCTTGTCATCAACGATAAATGTTCTATAGCAACAAATGTGATTTCCAAGCCTCTGAATTTAAACCAATGAAAGCATTTAACCTGTTCATCAGCTAGGAATTTTATAGTTACTCATTTTGCTAATACCCAGAAAAAGAAACTCAAGAACTTTATTTAAAATAAAGTATCAGCAAAAATAATAAAGTATCAGCAAAACATCCCGTCCGTCAAGCGCCATGAGCCAGGCCCTCTTCTCTTCTGGATGTGCTAAGTGTCCCGTCTTTCGGCAGGATGAAGGGCGTCTCTACGTCTCGTCTGCTACTTACAACACTTCTTCAATTTTGGCAACAATCTGTTCTGCGCATGCCCGCTCTTTCTCCAAGATGACCCGGTCCTTGTCTCTCTCGACGTCAAGTTTGGTCAGTTCGCTTTCAGCCAAGGTCAGCCCCATGCTCCTTTTCTGCCTACAGGGAACAGGAGGCGTTGCCTGAAGTAGCTCAGAGGAGAGTATCTTCCCTCACCGTTTGCACAGCCGCGACCTCCCAGCAACAGGCACCGGTCTGGGTTTTCTATCAGCACACATGTCTGCTAGGACGGCAGGGGAAGACCTTCCAGGGTGCTCACTGCACGGAGCACAGGCCCTGAAGGAACACTCAGCACACACAAACAGGGAAGCACATGGGCTGGGAACAATGGACTCTCAATATCCAAACACACTGACTCCAGATGCTCATTCTGCTTTAGAAACAGAGGCGGAGACCAGATGCTAAGCCGAGGATTTCATCTATAATCTATCAGCTACGTCTCTATTCCCACGCTTACCGGAAATCCTCCAGGTGCCTCTGGATCTCAGGGTGAACTCGTTCCTGCATAGTGTGAATATAGTGGCGGTGGAGATCCTCAGGAATAAGCTCAGGTCTTCTTTTTTCTGAAAAGAGAAAAAGGGAAACATTTATTTGATCTAAAGGTGTAATCTGTGCATTATCACTGGCAACGTACCAATGTGACTGGGGTAAACTTGTCTTGGGAGTAAGACACAGAGTTCTTCAATTTAATTCATGTATTTCATCTCATGATTCAGATTTCATTTACCTTTCAATGCGATGATCTACTAGTCAACACATGACACATAACACCTTTACAAATGAGTTGAGCTACATAACTATAGATATAATTCTCCAAACTTACCTAGATCTACTGATATTTCATCAGGAACAGAAACTTTCAAGTGCTAAAACAGAAATGCAAAGAAAAAGTGAGACAGCACTCAAGACTTTTTAAGATGCATGCAAGTGCCTGCATAAAGTAAGTTAATAGAACCTGACACCTCTTTTCACAAGCACCATCGTACATGCTCCTTTACTGTGCCCCCCCCCCCCCAAGGTCACTGCTCTGGTGTGTTCTGGTGTTTAACCTGGAAAAGAAGCCCTTTCCACAGATCACGCTATAAAGGAATTATCTACAATATTTACTAAATGACTAAATGCTTCTGTGCCTTACTTATTCTTACTGGCTTTATGGTAGCTTTCTGGAATGGATGAATGCTGACTTTGGCTTTCTAGAATCTGGTTAATCTACATTGTTTGAATTAATATAGATAAAAACTAAACTATGTGCATATATTATTATATGGAAAATTCACTCATATATAACTACTAGAGGCCCAATGCATGCAATTCATGCAAGAGTAGGCCTTCCTTCCCCTGGCTGCTGGCACCCGCTTCCCTCTGGCCGTCAACAGGCACCTGGGACCCAGGCTTCCCTCGCAGCCCCGGCTTCATCCAGAAGGTCAGCTGGAAGGATGTCGGGAAGGATGTCTGATCTAATTAGCATATTGTGCTTTTATTATTATAATTTTTATTGACTGTATTTGACATACACCCACTACAGACCATGACATTTCCAGTCCCTTTCCCTAAAGAACCCTCACAATAGTCATTCTCCCAATGAAAGTTAGTGAATGTCATTTCTGAGGATTTGGAGTCTTAAATATCCAGTAACCATCTGCAGCATTTGCACTACTGAACTAATTAAAGTAACTGTGTTTTAGTTTTATACAGATAGGATTTCTCCCATAATAATTGCAGTTTCTGTTCCCTCTATTAATTTAAAATATATTTTCCTTCCCATCAATTTGGGAAATATCTTAAAAGTAAATGTTTTTCCAGATATAGTACATATCATAACCTCTGTATACTGACTTTGTATTGTACACTTACTTAAGTTGTATACTTCCAGAATTTAAACAATTCCTATAATATCTGAAGTTTTATATTTGAAAATAAGTCACTGCTAAAAATTATGAGGTGGCTAATATTCATTGGAAGGACAGGAAGTGGATTTCTAAGCTTTCTCCTTCACTGATGTTGCCATCTATACATGTGGGCACTTCTAAGAAAAAAATATCACCTGTGCATCAAAAATAACTTAATAGTAAGTTAATCAAGGTTCTTACATTTTAATGTTAATAAACTTATATAGATCAGTAGCAAAATATAAAGTTTTAACTTAGCATGGAGCTCTATATGTAAAATTCAAATACACTTCAATATGGTGTCATTTCTTAATAAATATGATGCATAATATATTAAACAATGGCAGTAAAATCAGAAGCCATTCATTCAAAAAATATCTGAGTGACCACTCTGTGCTGCAATCTATTAATATTGGGAGTACAGCAGTGAACAGACAGGATAAAAACATCTTCCCTGACGAAGCTAACATTCAGAGAAGAGTAAGAATACAAACAAAAAAAGTAAGTTAATAAAATATAAGTTCTATGGACAAAAATAATAGGAGAGAGAGCAGCATACAGTGAGAGGGTTACATTTAAGTGAGCTGGTCAGGGAAGTCCTCACAGTGGTGATTGTGTTCAGCAGTGTGCAGGCAGCTGTGGAAAGGGACGAAGAAAGGGGAGCTGGAGAAAGGAGAGGCGTGTTACTGCTTTGAGATGGGAGAACTAGCGAGTCTGCCACAGAAAACAAGCACAGCAGTGCAGGCAGAAAGTCTCTGCAGAGGAAGCAATGCACAGGCAGATGTGGTAGAGGAGAGGACGCATCTGCTCAAGCTCTCTTCGGTAGACGACTTTAAATTCCTCAAGCAAAAGCCAGGTCATCAGCTGAGGGAAGGACAGGAGGAAGGAACAGGCGTTCTAGGAGAAAGCCAGTAGGACACAGTCATAGGGGAGAACCAGGGACACGGAGTGACTGATTGCCTAGGGAGCATTAGGGCCAGTTCTCCTTTACCGAGAGCAAAGTGAATAATAAAACTCTTAGGAAACACTATTGCCATTTACTATCATTTATGTAAATAAGATAGTTTTAACCACTTTTTAGTTAAACTTGTACCTAAAAACTTCAGAGGCCAAGAGGAGTTAAAGTATGCAGGTGTTACCTTTTGGATCCTGACATGTAAATGTGTATCTTTGTGTTCTCTTTTTATTCCTTCATCCTAATCATACACATGTGACAACAGATAGGCCTACAACTAATTTAGAAATGATAAAAAAAAAAAAACACCACAAAAACAGCCAAGAGTAATCAATAACTGACAGATGTCACAAAGCACAATAAAGTCCAAAAATATGGAAGGAGTCTGGCTGGTGCAGCTCAGTTGGTTGGAGCATCATCCTGTCCATCAAAAGGTTGTGGGTTCAATCCATGGTCAGGGCATGTGCAGGAGATACCTGATCAATGTTTCTTTCTTTCTTTCTCTCTCTCTCCCCCTCCCTCCCTCCCTCCCTCCCTCCCTCCCTCCCTCCCTCCCTCCCCCTCTCTCTCTCTCTCTCTCTCTCTCTCTCTCTCTCTCTCTCTCTCTCTCCCCTCTCACTACCCCTTTCCCTCTCTCCTGTCCTCCTGTCTATCTCTCTCTCTCTCATTCTCTCTCCCCCCACACCATCCCTAAAATCAATAAAAAAATAATAAACTAATAAAAAATAATTTTAAAAAAATCAAAGAAAAAAACCAAATGGGAGGGAAAACTGGAAGAAGGAGGCCGATAACTCAATGTACTAGAGCAAAGAGTTTACTATTAACTTGTCAACTTACCGCAGATCGATCCAGGAAGAATTGATGGAACTCAAGGAAGATACGACGAGTCTCCTTGGAATTGGTCTGTTTATAAAGGTCTGAATAAAGATAACAGAGCTGTAGTAAAGAAGAAAATGAAGAAGAAAAGTGAGAAATCTTGAAGAATATAATCTGTCATATTCTCAGAGTATGAATGTTTGCAACAGGCAAGTCACCATAAACAATGTACCAGAACAAAGGAAGCAGTAATAGTTAAAACATTCAACAAAGTGCTTAAAAAAATAAATAACATTTTAAGTATCTTTCATGTCTATCCTTAAATGTTTATAAAACTGAAAAAAAGTCTTTCCACTTATTTCACAGAAGTGAAAAGTTTTATGGTTTATTGATCAATGTAAAAACTTTGAATTTGCTAAATCGTAAAATACATTACCAATGTCGCAGGATCAAACTGTGAAACTACATGGTGTAAAAAAACAGCCAAGTGAGCAGGGCGAGATTTCAGCAGTTCAATGCTCTGGAAACAGCTGCACTGCCCATTGATCTAGAAAGGGAAACAATTACACATCAATGACTCCAACACAAATGCAAATGTCACGTGAGCTCAACTAAGTAAGCATAAACTATCAAAATCTACTTCGATCTTCAGTAAAAAATCTAATATTTGAGAACTTTCACTAGAATTTACTAGCAACACAAGCTATGGAATCTTTTCCTCTGACGTGAGAACTTTCAGCAGAGGGGCTAGGAGAAGGCCACCCTGGAAGAATGCAAGTTAGGAGATAATTATCAAGGAGCTGAGGCATCTCTGCATCAGCACACACCTACCTCACAGCATCCTGCAAATGTCCTGGAAGGCTCTGCCTAATAAGGAACCAGCTCTTTTCCTTTTCTTTTGAACTAATCACAGAAATGGTGGTACAAAATGGAGTTGTATCACTTTAAGTAACACTGGCCTATAATAAATGTATATATTCCTTACCATACAGAAAACAGCAATCATTAAAATGAAGGTAACTAAAATCACAATTTTCATGTAATTTTTACACATAAATAAATTAGGGTGAGACTAAAGTTAATCTAAGAAACAGTCCAATCCCATACAATCTCTTAGAAAACACAAGAGGAGGCCGACACCCTCGTGGGCTCAGCCCACCTGCTTTTCCAGATGACCTAATAAATCCACAATTCTTATTTAAAAAGAAAGACAAGAGGATGTAACACTTGCTGCCTCCTGCACGCCCCCCACCGGGGATCGAGCCTGCAGCCTGGGCATGTGTTGTGACAGGGAATCAAACCCTGACCACCTGATTCATAGCTCACGCTCAACCACTGAGCCATACCGGCTGGGCTGAGGTAGCACTTCTTATTCATCCTAGACCAGCAATACACAACTATTAAAACCAAACAAATTACAAAAAACACAAACACACACACACACACACACACACACAAAAAAAAAAAAAACCACCAAAACTACACAATAGCATCCCCCATAAACACAGACACAAAAATCCTCAGCAAAATAATGGCAAATTGAATCAGCTCTGTCTAAAAAGGAAAATGCATTATGGCCAATTAGGGTTTATCCTGGAATGCAGAGCTGGCTCAACAGGTTAACATCAATCCATATTAGGAGACTAATATAATCATCTACTCGTTCAATAACATTCAATATCCACTCATGATAAAAACTCTCAGCAGACTAGGAATAGAAGAAAACTTCCTTCACCTGTAATAAAGAGTATCCGTGGAAAACCTACAGCTAACTTTATTATACTTTATGATGAAAGACTAATCTTTCTTCCTAAGGTCAGTAATAAAGCAAAGATGTGCTGCCTCACCATCCAGTTCAACCGCATTACTGGAAGTCTTAATCAGTCCAGTGAAGGTAACAACAAGAAACAAAAGATAAGTAGACTGGAAACAAAAAAACTGTCTCTAGTCACAGACACCATGGTTGCCTATGGAGAAAATCACAAATGTGTTGTTGTTATTGTTGTTAACCCTCACCCAAGGATATCTTTTTCCAGTGCTTTTTTAAAAGAGAGTGAAAGGGAGGTGGGGGAGAGAAACACTGATGTGAGAGACACATCGGTTGGTTGCCTCCCACATGTGCCCTGGGGTGCGGGATCAAACCTGCAACAGAGGTTACCCTTGACCAGGACTAGAAGCCACAACCATTTGGTTTGTAGGCCAATGCTCTACCCACTGAGCAACATTGGCCAGGGCGCCAAAAGAGCTATTTTAAAAAGCTCCTTGAAGTACCAAGCCAATCATATTCCTATATACCATCAATAAACAATTGGAATTTAAAAAAAACAACACCTCCCCCTCCAAAAATGAAGTACTTAGGACTAATCAGGGACTTATCAGTTTTAAAAGCAGTCATTCCTATTGATTAAAGCTAAAATAAGCAACTAACCCACTAATTAACCAGTTAATCTTAGTTAATGTCCAGAAAAAAATGTTCATTTTTACAATAATCAAATATGTCAGAAGATTAGTGGGGGATTTTTTAGAAAAAAATATTATCACCTGTTCATGTTCAGTACCAAAATCATCATCCTCTGCTCCAATAATGTGAGGTGCTGTGCGGGTTGCAGGGCTCCCGATAAGTGACTGAGTGTCCTGGTGATATTCAGAGAAAAAAAATAAAAAAATTAACTGTCATCAAATTCAGAGGAGGAATAAAGATGTGGTTTACCAAATAGGTGTGACTTATTTTTATTTGTTTTCTTTATGTACTTTACTCTCAAAGAAGTGGTTCTCAAGTTTTTAAGGCCATCAACCACAGCAGCAAACAAACTACAATAGTATTTGAGGTTGGGGGACACAATTCTCCTGGAAATAATAAAAATTCTTTGCTCACTATACCCCTGGTTGTCTGATTTCAATCACTCTCAGGTTACTTCATTTAATACTCCATACATGTCTAGACCTTGTTACAGAAAAAATAAAATTAGCTTATATAAATTGTTAAATATTAAAAAGTTGTATTTTAAAATGCGAGTGAAGATATCAGGGCAAAGGACACATGAGAGTAGAATTGATAATACAAAATTTGCAGAGGTTAACACAAAGATTTCTATTAATGTCGCATAATCTTAATTTTTCGTTTTTAATTAATTTTCCCAAGTGCACAATGCAGCGCTTCCAGCCTGCACTGTGATATTTTGGACAGGTAATGCTTTGTGGGAGCTGTGCTATGCACTGTAAAGTGTTTAACAGCACCCTTCCCTCTACACACACCTACTGGATGCCAGTAACAGCCTCCCAGCCATAACAATCAAAATGATTCTAGATATTATCAAGTGTCCAGGGATAAGAACACTCCTGGCTGAAAAGCACAGGCACAATGCAAAATTAAAGTTTAAAGCAATCACATAAAACACTGCTACAGAAACAAAAATGACAAAGTTACAAAAATAAATTACAGATATCACTCCATGAAATAGAAAATCCCTTTGTGAATTCACTGTGTAAAATTCAGCATGAAATAAGCAGTGTAGAGGCATCTATATATGTAAAAGCCCAGCAACCAATACGGCAAAACGACCAGAATGACCGGTCGCTATGACGCACACTGACCATCAGCGGACAGATGCTCAACACAGGAGCTGCCCCCTTGTGGTCAGTGTGCACCCACAGCAGAAGCGCCACTCAGCCAGAAGCTGGGCTCATGGCTGGTGAGCAAAGCGGTGTAGCGGGAGCCTTTCCCGCCTCCATGGCAGTGACAAGGAGTGCTGAGCCAAGCGGTAAGAAGCAAGCAGGTGGAAGTAGGGAGCAGTGAGCCAAGTGGTAAGGAGCAAGCAGGTGGGAGATTAGGAGTGAGCAGGTGGGTGGGTAGAAGCAAGAGTTCTGGATTGCGAGAGGGATGTCCCTTGAGAGGGCGAGAGGGTGCAGACCAGGCTGAGCAACACCCCCCAATGCACAAATTCTGTGCATCAGGCTTCTAGTTAATGGATAATGTAAAACAAATGGGATGCTTAAAGACCACAAATATTAAATTAAAAGATACCAGAGTATGAAGAGAAGTAACAATTTTAGAAGAAATAGAAAAGAAGGAGTTGACTTAAATCTGACAGCAGTGGGGCTATAAAGCTTTGGGAGTCATCTGCAAAGCAGTAGTAACTGAAACAAGCTGCAGACTAAGTAAATGACATGTCACTAGTTTTTCCTCCTGAAGCGTTGTCCCAAACCTTCGTATTTGCATCTGCTAACCTGGAGCAACACAACGTGCACCTCACTCCGGGTGACAGGAGAGCCCGCTCCGCACTGAGGGGGGAGATCGGAGCACACCAGCGTGCATCTCGCTATGGACCACAAGAAGGCGAGCACTGTGCAGACCAGAGCAGCCCGCGCCCACTCCATCCTAAGCCAGGGTCTTGCTGAGGGGGCAACACGGAGTAGCCCAGCGCGTGCCCCACTCAGGTCACAGGGGAGCTCTGACTAGGCAACCCAGAGCAACCAGCACTGCTTCTCCCCAGTGTGCCTGGAGGAACCCAGCACACGCCTCATTCTGGGACACAGGAGAGCACTGCCAGGGCGACCCGGAGCAAGTGGGTATCCCCAGCCAGGGGCCACAGGACTGCGCTGGCAGAGGGACCTAGGGTGCCACCCTGCCCCAGGTGCCAGGGCTGCTCAGAGAAACGCATGCCAGAGGGCTCTGGGCCCTCACAGGGAGCCGCACCCCAGAGGAATTGTGCACGTGCTCCCACCATCCTGAGCATTTGAAGCAGACAACTGAGGGACCGGGTCTATGGGCAAGAAGGCTACAACTCAGCAGACACAATGAAGGCTGAGATTTCAGGCAGACCCAGCCACTGGGCTAGCGATGTCCAGACCACTGCCTGGAGAGGGTCTTCAACCTCTCAACCCCAAGCAGGGTGCCTAGGGCCAGAAAGAGACAGCAAAAATGGGGAGACAAAGACACAAACCCCCAAGGAAAGAAAAGGATGAATTGCTACAGGGAAACATGGGACCTGGCTGGAATGTCTGTGAGAAGGATTTTCTGAAAGGTTGGGGGCCTCTGGAAGGACCTTGCCGAAGGCAGCAGCCCCTGTCTTGACTTTTCCAAATAAGTCCGAGTCCCCAGGTGTTTTGCTAGAATTTCTGTGTTTAAGTCTTCAAACCCAACCTTGTAGAAGCATGAGCCCTCTCCAGGATGCTTACCTGCAGACTGCATCTAGAGGTTAATATTAGTGCAAGCTGCTGTGACAATAAAAGCCAAAGGAGGCAGGTGAACAGGGCTACTTGGTAGCAACAGCCAAGTAGTGCCTTAGTCTCTCTTTCACAGAAGCGTGTGTTAGAGTCATCATGCATCTGTCACTCAGGGCTGGAGAGTCAGCCCCTGCAAAGTGGTGCTCCTGTGTGAGTACCAAGGAATGCCGCGAAATGCAACGGACCCTCACAAACGAAGAGTAAGAAAATGAAAGTAACTGTGCAGTAAGTCACTGGAGCCCACTTGGGGTTTCCAAGTTCCAAGGAATTGTTTCTCAGCTAAGGAATTCACTCTCTGTTATACTTCTTAAGGATGTATGTTTTCCATTGGAAAAATAAGCCTATTTCTGAAAGCAAGGGAAAAAATGATTTGCCTGTATTCGCCTAGGATGCAAAGGTTTTAGATACATTATTAAAATAATTGTTATATCAATCGGGAAGTTGAATAATGAATAGATTACTTAACACTTTTTTAATTGATTTTTTACAGATAGGAAGAGAGAAGGATAGAGAGTTAGAAACATGATGAGAGAGAATCATCGATCAGCTGCCTCCTGCACACCCCGCACTGGGGATGTGCCTGCAACCAAGGTACATGCCCCCAACCGAAATCGAACCCGGGACCCTTCAGTCCGCAGGTTGACGCTCTATCCACTGAGCCAAACCAGTTTTGGCTTAACACTCTTTAATAATAATAATAATATATATTTGATTACATTCCAAGGGTTTAAATTTTAAGATTTGCTTTATCTCCTTATGAAGAAAAATTTTATACTTAAGGTATATGGAAAGCACTGTCAAATAAGGAAATAAAACGTATATTCTATATATATTATATATATTAAATAGGTTATAATATGCTTTTATTTATAACCAAGTGTTATAAATTATAATATTGTAGAATATTGTGTTTTGCAAGTAGGACAAGATTCCATGTCATTTATATTACTCTATAAAGTATCTAAATTTATAGAAATACTAGCAAGAAAAATCAGGAGCAAAAAAATTTCATTATAGGACTAAATGAACTAAAAATAATTATAGTTTTAGTAATTTTTGTTCTAATAGCAATACACTTGTTTGCATGAATCCAATAAGAATTTGATTTCTTTGTAGCAGGACATGAATCAGTTTCAATTGTAGTTTTATTAACCAAAACTTGGCTGAAATGCCATATCTGAAAGAGACATGCCAGGACTCTGGATGTCACCAGAAAGCGAATGAAGAGTGACCTTGAAGCCGGTAAGCCCCTTAGATAAACAACCTGGGCCCTCGCTTGGTCACGTGGCTCCTGGCAGTCTTCCCAGGTAAGGAACAAAGGTTGCTTTACTGAGAGATGGGATGAAAGACACCTCAAGACATCTATGGGGACCTCAACTTTAGGAATGCACCCCAATTCTGTAGATATTGCAGGCGAAGCCTGACGGCAACTGTGTGGCTTGGCTTCTTGGCCCTGGGAATACACTTTCTCATGAGATCCCAGCAAAGCACATTTTTAAAAAGATAGCTTATGTAATCAACTGTTATTCTTATTGTGTTCATGCAAACAATCAGGACAAATTATAATTACACTTAATACAGTAAGTAAATTAGTCTTTAATAAAAATAAGAATGATTTTAGGGAGAAAAAATGTTTCAACAGAAAATTATTAGAAACTGTTCTAACTTTTGCTCAATGAAACTGAATTTTATAACACAGTTTGTCTCCATTAGATTACAAGCCCTACTTGTACCTAGGGAATACCACCTCTAGGCACCATTGCCTCCTCCTTCTGTGCCCAGGCTTCCTCGTCCACCTGACAGAGAGCAAGCATCTCTCAGCTCTGAGGGAGACCTCTGACCACCTCAGCATGAGGCAGCGACAGAAAACCCAGGTCCCCTTTCCCCGAAAGAATTCAGAGCCAAGACTCTTGAGGGGGAGGTGGGAGGCAGTTAGACAGGCATAAGCAAGGACGATAGGCCAACTAGAGGAGAGATAGACAGACTTCTCACCACTCCAATTAATCTGAAGCTAGGCATAGAGGAAACTGTGTAGAACTAACCTTTAATCATAACTAATTGAAAGGAATTTACAGTTTTTGTATAATAGAATGTATAAAGGAAAAAGAAGGTGAAGTAGACAAACTGAAAGGGTATGTGTAGTTACAGAATATATACATATATATATATATATATATATATATATATGTGTGTGTGTGTGTGTGTGTGTGTGTGTGTAGCAGAAGGTATATATGTTATAAAAGGTATACATAAATTTTAAGAGGTATGTATAAGTTACAGAGGGTCTGTACAATTAAAGGAGAACAAAAGTTGAGGAGGTAAAATTGTGAAAAGAGATGTAAATAAAGGAATATAACAGAAAGAGAGGAAATGAGAGTAGGAATACTTAAGAATAATTGTGAAAGTTA